CCAATATTTCTTTGTCACAGGGCTTAAGCTAGACACCTTCTCCCAAGTAGGGCGCAAAACACTTGCTTTTAGAAAAATCAATTATCAGCTTGAAATCTTGGTCTTTCTCCTGTTCTGCTTCACCATCATCAACTCTTTCAGTCACTTTGACTTCAGCTTGATGGCACCTGGTTAGTTCAACCTCCCTTTTAACACTTACCGGGATTTGGCCTTTGTTGTTCCCAAACGTAATTTTATCAAAATTAATTACACATGTAATGTGGTCTTGTAGAATAAATTGGTGTGCATAAGAAAGCCTTTAGTCATGTAATGTGGTCTTGTAGAATAACTTGGTATGCATAAGAAAGCCTTTAATCATCTAATGTGGTCTTGTAGAATAACTTGGTGTGCATAAAAAACCTTTACTCATGTAATGTGGTCTTGTAGAATAACTTGGGGTGCATAAAAAAACTAGTCATGTAATGTGGTCTTGTAGAATAACTTGGTATGCATAAGAAAGCCTTTAGTTATGTAATTTGGTTTGGTTCACTACCTTGGTGAGTATAAGAAAGCCTTTAGACATGTAACATGATCTTATAGACTTGCTTGATTGACATGAGAAAGCTTTTAACATTGTAATGTAATTTTCTCATCTAAAAAGCATGATGTGTTTATGTGATAAACATATTAGTCTTTATGTGCTATAGTATCATACAAATTACCAGTGGATATCAGCATAGTTATGAACATTCAGAAAGTACTGTAGTAAAAAAAGAACATTAGCATTATCAAGTGACACATGTTGTTGTTATTTATATGTAACTTGAAAAATTCTATTTTTTACTAGTAATTTAAAAATTGAATAATTTCAATGCACAAATATAGGATAAAGTTAAATAATACATCCAAGTCAAATATGTGTTTATGTGTTTACTCTTTGTGTTAATTATATTTTTCATTTTATGAATAAATTCTCTTAAGTATATCAATTCTTGTATGTTTATAAATTGTAAAATTATTATAATAGTTAATTTTTGCATAATGAAAACTTTTGATGCATCAAATTGTTTTAAATTTTGAAAATAAAAAGTGTAGTTTAATATAAACATCAATATAAATTCATTATTTTTATTAGTAAATGCAAGTGAAGTACCCACCTGAAAATATTAAACTGTTATTATTTTTCTCTATGTAGTAAATATGAATTTTATGTAACCATCAATATTTAAAATTGTTTCTTCAGTGGTATATTGTATTATTTATATTTTGACAAACACATAAATATACATATTGAGAGAGAGAGAGAGATCTTACAACTGTTGAATTCTTTAATTCCAGCATTGGTGACATGACACTGGGCTTTGTTTGCGTGATTTTATTAATCCTTATAAGGGTAAGGTAGATTTTTTCTTTGTTCTATCATCTAACCAAAGCTTTCTGATATGGTACATTACCTCTTCTCACATAAATAGCTATTCTCGTTCAGTGCTGCCCTCTATATGCAAAAAATGTTTTTGCATGCCACAAGCCTTGAAGCTCCCACCCATCTTTGAATCGACTGATTCAATTGCGTCTCGTATGCAAATCATCATGTGACAACCCTCCACCAATAAGAGTGTAACACTCTATCTCTATTCAATTCTACCAAACTATTACTTCTCATATGGCAGTACTCGTGTTGTAACATTTAGTTTGTGCTCACTTCAAGTGTTTATTTTTATTTTTTCTGTATCTTTGTATTAATTTCTCTCAACACGTTTACTATTTATTATATAAAAGTGATATTTGTAACTTGTTGAGTTATTCTGAAGTGGAATTATTTTATATTTCTACCCAGTTACAGAACTTATTACTTCATTACAAATGTTTTTTATTTCGTTCTGCCAACACAGTTGTTTGGTTATTCATTTTGCATTATTAATTCTACATTACCACTTCGAAGGTTATATTTTCTATCAGCACATTTACACAGCATTTAGGTAGCAGTACTCTGTGGGAACATTTTTGGCTTTACTTTGATGGGAGATGGATCGTCCAATGAGCTAATATTCATTGATGCTCGCCTCGAGTTTTGGGTCCCATAAATTTTGACATACAGTCTGCCAACTTTGGAATGATAAGATGTTACACTGTTATAGTTTTTGAATAATTTTATTATTAATATTATTATCTGTAGTTATTTGGGTTCCATAACATAAGTTTAGTTAGATTGGTCAACACTCATTGTTACGTTCAGGTTAGTAGTTAGTCTTAGTTGTATCTTTTCTCCTATACCATTCACTTAGGCTGTTGTAGATGATGATATATCCTTCACTATGTAACACTGAAATGTATCTTTTCTCCTATACCATTCACTTAGGCTGGTGTAGATGATGAGATATCCTTCACTATGTAACAGTTCCCTCATCCTATCCCCATGTGGATGTCAGTCCCCAGTGGCTGGATTTTGGATTTAACAATCAACATAAGTCGTCACACATATATTACAGATGTCTCTATTCCCTCACTCTTATTACTCTATCTGGGTAACAATGGAGATACTTGCAGATTACTCTGTTTCTTCTCCTTCTGCTATCCCTCGATATTCTTGTTATTCCAAGGATGTTACTTGCTTGCGGCAGTTCCTGTCATTTTAAACTTGAGTGAGGTAGTTTAAATTCTACAGACATCTCTTTGATGCCGGATGTCAGCTATTTATATGAGCGGAAGTAATTTACCATATTGGAAGTTATCATTTTCCTACACTGAAAATGTATTTCCGATAAGTAATTACCTCCTCTCACTGTTCCCATCCTTCCTCCCCAATGAAAACCAGTGCTTCAATTTTCTGCCAAAACACGACGTGATAGTTCTGTAGAATTGAATAGAGGGAGTCACATACATCAAAAGAGTATGTCATACTCTTATTGATGGAGGATTGTCCCATGATCATTTGCATGCGAGATGCATTTGAATCAGTAGATTCAACGATGGATGGGACCTTCAAACATTGCAGCATGTAGCATGGGAAAATTTAGAGGGCAGCACTGAACAATAATAGCTATTTATATGAGAGGAAATAAGTACCTATCAGAAATACATTTTCAGTATAGGAAAATTATAACTCTCCTTGAGTATTCTACTACTCTGATAAGATGTTACTAGCTTAACATTGGCCTCAGTTGGGTTTAGCCTTTGATCTACTATTTTCGTTCAACTTGGGATGTATTTTTATGTTGTCCTCGAGTCACTGACACACAATGCACTTGGAAGCTGTCTTACATTTTTTATATTTTTGAATAATTACAAACTGTACTACTTCTTCTTGAATATAAATTTTTAGAAATACATTACACTGCATTTCAGTTGCTCATTATTGAAAGTTCTTTAAAGATTTGTTTGTTCTAGCCCTAATTTAGATAGTATTTAAAGTTGTTAGGTAGTATTATTTATATTGTTATGCCTCCATTCGTTAGTTAATTTTCCATATAATTTCTTTCCAAAGAAAGTTTAGCGATACAAGTCCTTTCTTAAATAAAACTAGTTTATTCTTTCTAAATACAACTTTGCAATATACTTAATTTCCACAGTCACGCTG